AATATTATTATTATGATCGCGCAAGTATTTTATCTATATAAAATGTAAACGACCTATAATACGAAATGAATTGAAAAATTTTATTATGGATTACAAAAATGAAAATTGTCGTTGGAATATCTGATTCTATAATCGGTACGTAAAAATTGATACGTTAATCGCGATGATATCGAGCAGAAAATGTGCAAGCGTAATTTCTTGATCGCATGTGGAACAAATAGATTATTCATCATATGAGTGTTACGAGGTTTCGACGTGACGATGCGGTACACGCAATGGCACTTTACGATCGGTCGTATCGATTGATTATGCGATAAATATTTTCTAGGCTTCGTATTAGATTAATTTTCGGTATGACACCGCGATGCGGTTTATGACGTCGGTGAAATGCTGCATTGGATTGCAATTACGTGCCGCCGATGTGATTCAATGTCATGCTTGTCGGCCAACTTTATAATTGCCTCTCATACATGAGATGCATCTCGCGCAGATACAATCAACTACTAACAACTGTTACGATAGTTTTTATCAACTAATGAACATTGCATAATTCTCTTCCGACTGTACTGAATTTACTGTAAGTAAATTCTGGCAATATAATGCGGTATTAATAATGAATTGTTATTACTTTTGAAACCCGCACGGCTTTATTATTAAATTATGTTTATTTTATTAGTATTAAATAGTTGAATAATTAAGGAATGGAATATCAAAAATAGAAAAAGAAAATTAAAAGTTAAATAGATAGATAAATTATAGAATATGAAATATAGAAAATAATGCAACTTTCAACATAATATAATGTGAATATGAAAATATATATGAACAATTGCTGAAAAAATCATGCAATAATTTATCGTAAAAATTATCGAGAGTGTTATTATATAAAATAATATACAAAATTTCACTAATCTAAAATTCTATATTTTACGTGATTTTATATACATATACGCGTGTAATTAATGATTTTTATCTTTATCTTTTAATGGAAAAATTCATATATTTGTACATGTTATTTAAAAAAGTTATAATAATCTGCATTTACAGTAGAACTTGTAAAGTATTGAGTTATTGAAAATTCGACATTCTTTTATCAGAGACTCCGACTTATTCCGCTTGAATTCTTAATCAAAGATCGACGCGCCTTGGTAACAGCCACCTCAATCCCGCGGTTTGCTGAACATCCATTCGAGTGAGTCGGTTTCCCTTCAACCGAAAAGACTCACCGCAGAATTTTCCGAATTTTCGTTTAGCCAGTTTCAGTTCGATAGGCTAAAGTAATTTTGTACATTACATTACTACTCCGATATTTTATAAAATTATATTAAAAACCCGTCTGCTTTGAATTTAATAATATAAAACGAAGTAGAATATTATATTATATTCTCTATCGGAAACGGTTATCTCTCTTGCGTTTTATTTCGTAATTAAAAAAGCATAAATTAATTTCAATCAAGCGACGTGCAAGACGCAAAACGTAACACCAACGAGCTGATTTAACGAAATTTATTTGTTTATATAATTTTTCTACTAATTATATCGTATCCGTATTCGTCGGAAAATGAACTATCGCGAGGAGAATGCCATTTATACCGGAAATATACACTATATGCATTAAAGATACGCGCGAATATGCACGCTCGCTCGTCGACATTAATTTCATTGTTCTGTTTATTCCCCGTGAATGAAATTAAAATAGCTTCTCGGACACGAGGGTCCTGACGGACGGGCGGACAAGTGGTGATGATGCACGAAGTGGGGAAGGGTAAGGTTTAGCCCGAGGGGTGGTAGGACCTTATTGCGACTTCACCTTTTTAATTAAAGTTTGAAACTGAACTAGAGAGCGCATGCGAGATAGCGCCGTATACTCTCTCTCAAGCCGGTGAGAGAAGCGCGGCGCGCATAAAATAGTCAAGTGTAGCTTTCCCAGCAGTGAGCACTGTCATCTCGCTTGTTTAACATTCCGGCCATTATAAAATGAGTGGCTGCTGAGTCACCAAGTATCTCGCTGCCGGGATGTAATTTCTAGAAATGCGTAAAATTTTCCAGTAGGTCGTAATGTTTACTTGATATTCTTTATGATGATGGTGAAGCGACAGAGGAAGTTATTGAGAAAAAAAGAGTGAAAAAAGAAGGAAAGAAAAAAAACTTGTCGATATTTTAAATCATCTCTATGTACGCATCGTCAAGCGAATAAATTAAAGTAATACCCTTAGCGGGGTAGCAGTATTTTTTTTTGCTGTCGCTTCATTGAAAGCAGATCACGTAGAACGACATAAACACGCTCGCGACTAGCGCAATCTGCACGGGTGTCTCGTATCTAATTCGCTTTCTTAAGCTTTATAGCGCTATTCTATTGTCTACGGGTACCATTAATTTCGCTAATGGTTAATCGATAGACAGGCGAGTTGTGGGTACTATCCTACGGTCGCAGTTCACGTGTAATTGTACGGATTCGAGCGATCTGCAGGAAGCAAGAAGTACAATAAGGCTACAATAAAGGTACTCGCAGTGCTGTAGGGACGGCGACCGGTAGTTAGACACCTGTTCGCCGCACATGTATACATATACAGATACATACACACACGCGAGTGTGTGCGAGCGCGGGAAAAATGAGAAAAAAGGCAGCGACGAGAGACAAGACACGAGAGCGATCGGGAAGAGGAATTATAACCGGCGAGAACGGAAGGCGCTATTTATTATCAGCCTCGTGGAGTACAATGGCTCGCGACTGCTGATTGATGTTCTCGCCTTTAGTCACTGTCCGTCGTATGCTATATTTACAACAATCCGCCTAACCCCGTACATCATCGAAGAAAAGCACCGCGGATTCGCGACGGGGGCGACCGCGCGTGCGTTCTCTGCCTTTCTCTGTGAGAGATTTAATTATTCTCCATCGCGCTGATTTCCGCTATAAACTTTGGTAATTAAAGTGATAGAATTATTCAACGGGGTGCAGCGCGTAGCCGCGCCCGATATGAATACGTGAGCGTGCTATTTACACAATTTCGAAATATACGTCCGGTTACACATTCGGCGTACAATTCGCGTTTGTTCACAAAGAGAACCTATTTTGATGGAGTATATGTACGCGTGCTCGCGCGCTGTATGCGGGCAAACGCGCCGATTGCGCCAAGTTAATTATTTACGCAGCGAATTTATCGTGAAAACGTTATGACCGACAATTAACGTGGAATCAAATAACTCGGAGAAAAATTATTATTAGACTCCAACGCCGTGATAAATCGAAAATCGCAGTTGGAAACGTCGCGAAACGATCGAACACTCAGTAAGTAATCAGCTGGACGTCCATGGTACCTAGAATATGTGACGTGTATCCCATACACAGACGCATACACACACACACACACAAACATATATACATGAACTTACGTGACGAGAATTAGTTACCACACGGAAGCAACCAGTGGCGTAGATCTCCATGCGGTTGTCTCGTAGATTTCCGGTAAACGTTCGCAAAGTGCTTCTCGAAAATCTTAAGGCGCCGGATTCTCGGTGTATTTGCATAGTAACGAGGATTTAGTTTTCGCGAGCTAAAGACTATACGTATAGTATATTTCGTCGCGAGCTTTTTGCTTTTTTTTTTCTCGCCGAGAGAAGAATGACATTTAGCTGAGCGCATCGCGATGAATGAACGCAGTTGCCGAGCACGTGACGCATCGTGCATAATGCACGGTGAAATTAGCGCGAGATAACGCGGGATGAGCTTTCCGCATCGTCACTATCGTGATCATTTAACTCTCCCGAGCCAGGCCCGATAACATAAGCGCGCCCGCTTTATCTCGCCCCTATCTCGCGAGGCCGCATTATTAATTGCGTGACGGCGGAGTTGCTCAATTGCCGAGAAATTGTCGGCACAAAGCGCCTCGGAGCACCGAACGACCACATCGCGCGCGTTCACCATCATCGAAAGAGACGCGTGACGCGGTTACCACATTATGGTGACATCGTGAGTGACTTGACGAGAGAACAAGACTTATGCACTATATGCGATTGGCCCGAACATCGAGCGATAATGCAACAGACTGCATCGTGTGCAGGATACAATGGCCAGTTCTGGATCAGGCGTGTACAGGCGTCTCGATTTGTCACGGTGACAGCTGAGCTCGTAAAGAAGGTTGCCTGCTCTCTTTGAGATTTTGTATTTTTTTTATATCGTCGAGAAAAATATTAAACCTTCGTCTTTAGAATATATATATATATTCTTATTTTTTGTCAATTGTAATGCTCATACTTGTCAGAGCAGATTATTTGGGAAAATTATGTAGTCTTTCAGAAGGAAAAAAGGAATAAAAATATACTGTTTATTTTATCTCTTTATTTCGGGATGAAAGTTTTTCAAGTACCTATCTTAGATTCTAAATTCTTCTTATCAAAATCCTATTCTGTTTGCAAATTGCTCCGAAAGCATGCAAACAAATATTTCGGAGTAATTGCACAAAAACATGCAATTACTCCGAAAAGTTATAAGAGAAAAATACGGAGGTTTATATATCGTATATCGCGTGTTTATTTTCTATTTGATATAGCAAGATAAATTAGATTTTCTCTTGTTCATTTTCTTAGAAAATGTTTACCTATATTCCTCTCATACTACTTAAATTAAGGTGAAGCACACAAAACGTATATTATATTGGTATCAAATATATAAATTTGCGAGACAGGTTCTATTATATAAGAAAATGATTTCAAATTATATAGTGATGACATCTAATTCTTTGCAATCCTTTGTCGAGATTACATTTACAAGCTAATGCTTTGAATTTTGTAAATCACTCAATATTCTATAATTTTTATATTATATTTTATATTAAAGGCTGATAAAAGATTAAAGTACATAAATTAAGATAGATAATTAAAGTATAAAAATGAAAAATACTTAATTATTTAATATTGACTTACAGTGTGGGAATTAATTTGGAGCGCAAAGAATTATTGCCGACTTATTATTCAAAAGTGACCCAGAAAGAGACACTCACGTTTAATGACAGCAGCGTAACGTCGCAGACTCTGTTCTCGTGCCGCAGTGCTCCAATCTTTTTCTCTCTTTTTTTCACCGGTGTCCTCCTCTACCACCCTCACTGCCACTCTGCTCCGTCTCGATTGTCCGTCGATTATCGTGAATCACAAGTCGCCGTCATCTCACCGTACACACAACACTTAATTAATTACGATGCGCGCGTGATTAAGAAAGAAAAAAAAAGTATCGCCGGCCGCGGTGCGAGCTGTCAAATGCGACCGGGCACTCACGCGGCTTTTCGCGCGTCACGACGTTTCGAGCCCCCGGGTCCACGACCAATCGACGAGAGTAATGCGTACCCCTCGCGACCCCGTGACGGACTGAGGTTCGCGCCGGCGGTACAGCGCCGCCGTGACCCGTGGCGACACCGCGAACTAAATCCGCACCCGCACACACGCGCCGCGATTAGGTTGATATTCGTCCGTTCCGCGCCACGCGATCTGGTTCCTCCCGCCGTTTCTTCGCCAATTTTAACCCTTCGGGCACCACTGGCGGTGCTTGTGTACTGTGATGCCGGATGCGTTTCCGGCTCCCTGCGAATTTCGACTCTGTAAATGATAAAGATATAGGTAAACATGATTTTTCTCTGTTATTATTTACTTGGGCGCCGGGAATTTTTTGGATGCTTTATATTTTCTTGTTAATTTGACAAAAAAAAGCTTAGGTCGCTTCGATGAATAAAACGAAGAGGTGAAACAAATATAATACGCTATTTTTTCAGTTGCAACGCGGAATGCGAAACGGTAGAGTAATTGAGTTTTTGTAACAGTCGAACCGGCGTAGTTTTTGCATTGTTTCTGTTCTCTGTTACCGAGACTGTAAATATACTACCCATGGAGCGAATATGAATACGACTTCATTACCGTAGTTATGTGTTACACTTTGCAAAATGAATAAAATGTTTTAGCAGTAGAGCGATATTACGACAGACCTCTGCTGGTAATTAATATATAAAATTTACATGCGCTATAAATAAGCAATGCAACAGCGCGCCCATATGAAGTAACGAGCTAAAATTATTGAAGAGAAAAAACGCAATTTATTAATTTTACAATCCTAATTCGCAAAACAGTAAAATGAATTTTTCATTTTTTTATGTGAATTGCATCAAGTAAAATAAATATGAACTTTAATACAACAAAAAGTTTGAGAGACAGAGAAGGGGAAATGTAATGCGTAATAGTCATATTTCTCAACTAATTTTAACTGAACAGAATTTTAATTTAAACGCTAGTTAAAAGAAGTTGAATATTAAAAAGCCGCAAGGAAGAGAAGATCGCGAATTAATTTTTTCCTAAGAAACAATCGCCTTTAAATTACTCAAGACTCATCCGCCTCCTCTCATTTCTCTCTCTTTCTCTCTCTAGACAGAAGAAAATGCAAAGAATTAATGACAGTTTACATTTTTACATATGCTATTATCGTACCAACTGTTTAAACTTAAACGTTGATTGAAGACTTGCAAAATGGCCAATAGTAAAATTAAAAAAATTTTTCTATATCTCACGTATATTACGTACGATAATTCAAAATTCTGAGGTTGATCATCCTGCAAGTTTAACCCGCGTTAAGTTTAAGCCGCGTCTTGGAAGCGGGAAACGTTTCGATGGGGTTAAACTTGACTATTTTCCGTCGTGCTTTGTAGTGTTTCCGGGGTGTTACCGCAAGACAGTGATGCGGTTTCACGTTGCTCTTTCCCACAAGCTTTTACGGTCTACGCCAGAGCGAAGAGGTCCCGACATGGTTCGTCTCGTTCGACGAGCAGCGAACGTCGACGCGCGAGAATCCGAGAGAGGGACGGATGGCGAGGCTTCTCTCGTATGTAAGTAACACCGCTATTTCGAAATATATCGTTGCGGCAGTTCGCCGCGGGGAGAGATCGTCTCTCTCTCTTCTTTAGTATCCCGAGAACGAAAGATGCAATTATCGGTCAGCGTGTGGCGCCTCGAAGCTCCTCGGTTCGGTTGCTTACGCCATTTACCGTATCGCTCGTACATTACCGCTTTTCTCCTCGGGATGCTCTATTTACTTGACGTTAATCTCGCGCGCTTGCGTGTTTCCGCTTTTCCGCTTCCGTGCTGATGATAAAGGAAAATTAAAGATTAGAGAAACAGTTAAAGAAACAAAGTACATCTTTCTCTAATGGAATTAATTATTAATTGATCAGTTAATTATGTGGAATTATTGTTGCAAGAAAGACATGAATTTTATTATTCACGTTTTCACATTATAAAAATTATTCATACTATAAAATTTGCATATATAATATACAATCTATAAAATTGACATCTATAAAATACATATTTAGCAATATTTTGATTGCATTGAATGAATCTTTCGAGAGTATACATGTGCGAAATTTTTGCCACGTGCCAAAAATTAAAGATCACAAAAGGAGTTAAAGAAAAATATAGCATATTTCCAATTACAAATTTATTAATGTTATTTATCGAATATTGTTACAAGAAAAACATGGATTTTATGTTTGTTTTTTAAAATGTTATAAGAAAATTGTTCAAACTATAAAATGTACATATATAAATGTATATATATATCTCATCTTTAGATTGTGTTGAATGAATCTCTTGAGAGCGTGTTTGAAATTTTTGCCACGTGCCAAAACATAAAGGAAAATTAAAGATCAGAAGAGAGAAATACATATCTCTAATTGCAGAATTATTAGTGAATGAATCATTTGTTAAATATTTAATAATATTATCATTTATCGAATATTATTGCAAGAAAAACATGAATTTTATATTTTTCACTATTTATTATAACAAAAATTGTGTCCGATCTATAAAATCTACATAAAATAATATTTATCTTTCGATTGCATTGAATGAATCTTTTGAGAGTACGTGTGCAAAATATTTGCCACATATTGCTCGTTAAAAATGAAGTTCATTACCTAGAAAATGTTTTGATCGAAACCGTAATTCTCATTGAGCCGCATTAAAAATTGTTTATTAATTTCGCGATTTATATTTCCCTCGAAGTGACCCAGATTCATTTGCGTATCCCCTTTCGTCTTGCGTCCCTCTATATGCTTTTTCAAACCACAAATCTCCCGCGGATGTGGACACAGGGTGTAATTTAACTCTCCGATTTGGGTCGGCATTCATTGGGCCGAGGTACTAAGCGCCGACCGGAAACATCGGCGAACATTGTGGCGACACGATCGAGAACAATATCGCGTGTCCATGAATCAAGCATACCCACCATTCTCGAGACGTCGCTCTCGCATTGGCTCACGGTACGATAATGTCAGCCGAATCGGTCGGCCAAATCAATCAGCTGATATGGATGGATCTCGCGCGATTCGCATAAGGGTCCCCGTCTATAGAATGTCACGCATTATAGATCGCGATTTATTCCATAATACTCATTGTTCCTGCGCATTTAAACAGAATATACGGCAAGTCTGTCACGAGTCGCATCTCGCCGTAAACTTTACGGGGCTCTTGTCTTCTCTCGAGCGGAGTTACGAGGAGGAACGCGACCCTCCGGAGCGTAGTAGTCTCGTGCGAGGCCAAATACGAGGCACTTAAGCTACGGTCGCCAGCGAGCTGACCTCCGTGCTGTATCTCCTACTCCGGTTTGTCTCGGCGAGCCATCACAGGCTTTGACAATTCTCCCCAACTTGTTCCCGAGAAGCTTCCGTCCGGAATTGCTCCCTCGCGACCGTTTCGCGACGCGTTATTACACAAGTGACTTTACGGCACTCTTAAATCAATGAACGACGACGTTTCGAATTCGTGCCTAAACGAGCTGGACCCTCTCGTTTTCCGCGACTTCGGATCGAAAGAATCGGATATATAACGCGAATACAATCTTTCGCGACCGCAAGGAGAGGGCTTTTTCCGACGAGTAATTCCTTTGTGATTAGTGGCTCGAGGCATCGACTTACCCGGGCACGAGCAAAAGAAAACGTGGGATTGTTTCCTCGAGCTGTACGCGCCGTCGTTACCTCGCCCCGTTCTCCTAAAGCAAGCTTAGATTTAGTGCCACGTGGAAATAAACGCTTTCGTCGCGGTGAACAACAAGAATCGTTCGTTACCTTAATGACAGGTTCCTTCGGGCGAATGGGAAACTTGGAGCTTGCTTTCTCTCTTTCTCTCTCCTCATCTCTATCTTTCCTTCTCTTTAGCTATCGGACAAAAACTCGCGTCCCTTTTCATCGAAATGAAATATCTTTGTATGCCGCGCCGAATATCGGTGTAATTAATCGCCTTGATGCTGATTAATTCCCTGTAATTCGGTAAACATCGCGCATGAAACGACGCGCCACTTTCTTCGACCCGCCATTAATTCGGATAATGTAAAATCGTTTCCCTCCTCATCGAAAACAATGTTTCCGTAGTGAGTGGGCATAAATCTCTCTCGGCTCTATGCTCCTTTCGCTTTGCCACGAAAGTTTTCGCGTCTTATATATATATATATATATTTGTTGGGTTTGTTGGCCGCGCGCGCGGGCGCGTCCGTTCGATATTTTGTTATATGCCATTAATAACTGCTGTGTCTCGCGTCTCGGTAACAGGCTTTCTCAATTAATCTGCGTTACGAGTGTGCCGAATGGCGAGGGGCCGAATGTAAAAGCTCGAAAATTAATATTAATGCGCGGAGCGGAGAAATCCGCGCGTTCCGTCGGAGAATTCGCGTCGGCGAATCGATATTTTACGCGGCGATGTCAATGGCTATAATGAAAACGTCGAATAATCCGATACCCGGGTATATAGCGTAGCTATTCCTCGTATTGTTTCGCACGGCGGCAAACCTTTGTGCCGCGTTCCAATGAAATTGTTTCACCGACAATTTGCGTTATGCCTGGCAAATTGCTTCTCCGGGCGTACATGTATATATAGTTGTGGAACGAAAATCGAACTCTCGAAAAAAATGAACTCATTTGTCCCTTCGCTTAAATTCGCTCGCGACAACGTAACGCGCTTCCTTCGATTAATTCGTCGTATTGGGAAGTTTATTTTTCCACGATTTGTTTTTAACGTGACAGTTGGAGAAATTGTTGATAAAACTAAAACGACCAGAGGGACCGCGACGCGTCGATGAGAAAACGAGAAAATATCTTTCTCTTCCGCGAGAATCGAGTTGCGGAATCGTGGTCGGTTTCGCTCGCTTTTGAGAAAGAAAAGGAGCAAGGGAGAGAAAGTGAGAGGGAGAAAAGTTACATCGCAAATTTTAATGCGGTGTCCGCTCGAACGAATGACTTCGTATGAAAACTGCCGGGTGCAGCGTGCCCGCGGTAAAACGGATCGCTTTTTTACGTGTCACTGCTCACCTTGAACTCGC